TGGACACAAAATTCTTGGCTGAAAAATGTTTTGTTTAAGGAGACTAAAGATAGGACTCTAATCGATCTCTTCTGGCTTGTAGGGTTTCTGTTGAGAAATCTTCTGTTAATTTCATAGGTTTTCCTTTATAGGTTACCTGATGTTTATGCCTCACAGCTCTTAAGATTTTCCTTCATCATGACTTCAGATAATCTGATAACTATGTGCCCAGGTGATGAATTTTTCTGCAATGAATTTTTGCAATGAATATCCCAGGTGTCTTTTGAGTTCTTGTATTTGGATGTCTAAATCTCTAGCAAGGCTAGGGAAGTTTTCCTCAATTACTCACTCAATATGTTTTCCTAACTTTTAGATTTCTCTTCCTCCTCAAGTACACCAATTATTCTTAGGTTTGGACACTTAACTTAGTCCCATACTTCTTGGAGGCTTCATTTTTTGAAATTCTTCTATCTTCGATGGATAGGGTTAATTCAAAAGCCTTTGCTTTGAGCTCTGAGTTCTTTCTTCAGCTTGTTCAATTCTATTGCTGAAACTTTCCAGTGCATTTTGCGTTTCTCTAAGTGTGTCCTTGATTTCCAAAAATTGTGATTTTTTTATGCTATTTCACTGAAGAATTTTCCTTTCATAACCTGTATCATGTTTTTTCTTTAAGTTGAATTTCACCTTTCTCTAGTACCTCCTTGATTAGCTTAATAATGGACCTTCAGAATTCTTTTTCCTGCAATTCAGAGATTTCATTTTGGGTTTGGATCCATTGCTGGTGAGCTGGTGTGATCCTCTGGGGGTGTTTAAGAACCTTGTTTTGTCATATTACCAGATTTTCCTGGTTCCTTCTCATTTGGAACCAGAGGGAAGATCTGGGACTCAAGGGCCTTTGTTCATATTCTCTTATCCCATGGGGGTGCTCCCTTGATGTGGTGTTCTCCCCCTACCCCTAGGAATGGGGCTTCCTGACAGCCAAACTGCAATGACTGACTGTTTTTGCTCTTGTGGGTCTACCCACCCAGTGGAGCTACCAGGCTTCAGGCTGGTACTAGGGAGTGTCTGTGAAGGGTCTTGTGATGTGATCCATCTTCAGGTCTTTCAGCTGCAGTTACCAGCACCTGCTCTAGTGGGGGTAGCAGGGGAGTGAAATGGACTCTGTGAGAGTCCTTGGTTGTATTTTTGTTTAGTGTGCTGGTTTTATATTGGCTGGCCTCCAGCCAGGAGGTGGCGCTTTCAAGAGAGCATCAGCCGAGGTACTGTAGAAAGGATGCAAATTTGCCCTAAGGTAGTCTAATTAAGTATTCAGATTTCTCAGGGGTGAGCAGGACCACAGTGCCCTCAGGAGATTATAACCTTTGTCTTTGGCCATCAGGATGGGTAGAGAAAGACCACCAGGTGGGGGCAGGAATAGGGTGTCTGAGCTCCGACTCTCCTTGGGCGGGGCTTGCTGTGGCTGCTGTGAGGGGTGGGGATGTGGTTCTCAGTACAATGGGGTTATGTTTCCAGGAATATTAAGGCCGTTAGTCATACAGGTCGCCAGGAAAATGGGAGAAAGCCAGCAGTCACAGGCCTCACCCCACTCCCACGCAGCCCACAGTCCAAAAGGCCGGTCTCACTCCTACCATTCCCATCCCCAACAGCACTGAGTCTATTTCCAGGCAGCCAGTGCCCAGAGCTGAGAGCTTGCCCCAGACCATCAGCCTCCACACTGAGAAAGCAAGCAGACTCAGTTTTTTGACCTCTCGGGTGGTCTGCAGAGGTGATATAATTCCTTCAAAGGGTCCGTGGATTCTCTTGGCTTTCTTATGTTCCTGTGGTAGTTCTTGGAGCAAAAGTTCATGATGTGAGTCTCCACACGCTGCTCTGTCTGTCCGAGCAGGAGCTACAAGCTAGTCCTGCCTCCTATCTGCCATCTTAATCCAATCCTGATCTAATTATTCAATTTCTGAAATGGTTCCATTTCCTGTTTTTTCTTCAGTTAATTTCTTCTTGGGTAAGTGGAAAAATACATTAGTATTTTTTATTCTAAATCATCCACTTTACTAAATGTATAAGCCTTTGTAGTGCTTTCAAATGATCTGGGTGGGGGGGTGGTAATTCATTCCTATTTGTTTCTGAAAGTATCTTTAGCTCTGCCCTCACACTTAAACCACAGCTCTCTGGATTCAGAATTTTTGGCAAATAGTGACTGCACCCCAATGGTTCCGTTACTTCTCCACGACACTCTGGTATCCGTGCTCGTACGACGTCGGCCATCAGACTTTTTTTTTTTTTTTTTTTTTAGGAAATCTGTTTTTCTAGGGCAGCATTTAAGATTTTCTTGAGATCACAATTTGTCTAGGTCTGGAATTATCTGTTTATCTTGCTTGGCCACCTGAGCACACATTCTCCAGGACTCCCTCAAGAGGGGCACTGGCCTCCCTCTCTTTCGCACCTCACATGGGCACCTCCACTCCAGCCCACCCTCACTTCCTTCTCTCCAGGAAGCCTCATGACCTCATCTCCACGCCCAGCTGGCTCAGTCTCGCAGCATCCTCCAGCTCACCCATGCTGTCTCTGATCATGTCCAGTGTACAGTTCACTCTACTTCTAAAATGTAAATAGCTATATATTTCATTTCTAGGATTTGATTAGGTCTTTTCTTTGTTCTTAGGTGCCTTTTTACATAATTTTGTGTTTAACTGGTTCTCCCTTTACCCCTTGGAGGATGTTAGGCATATTCAGTTTAAAGTCATCTGTGTTTGTTCTGTCATTTCTTTTTCTTTGGGAGTGATTACGCCTTCTGACTGTAGATGCTGCTGGCACTGTCTGGGATGCTGACTGTTCCCAGCCCTCAGTTTGCACATCCACCATGAGCACAGCTGAAGCTGCTTTCTTCCCCCTCACATGCCCTCCCTGCCCTACTCCCAACCTCATTCAGAAGCAGGGGCTCCCACCCTGGGATCTCAGGACCCTGGTCCAGATTCACCTGTGGGAATTACAGGCCTAGCCACCAGTCGGCTCTGCCCTGCAGCCTTCCTGGTCTCCTCCAGCTGAACAAGCCCTCACCCCTCCTCAGCCTCCTCCAAAGGGCCTAGGCACCTCCCCCAGTGCTTAGAGGGGGCTGAGCCACACCTGCACACTTCTGCTGCCATGGGACTCAGACTCCCAAGCCCATCTGCCGTTCTCAGGCCGTGTGCTGGTGCCGGAGACTCTGCTGTCTCTCACCACTGTATGTTCTATTCCATTTCTATTCCTCAGAGATTTTGTTTTTACTTGTCTAGGTCCTCTTAATTTCTAAGTGTATTTTTTTTATCTTACTGCTGTGTTTAGAGCAAGGGGCATGTAATGTCTGAATCAGAGCATTATCTGATCAGAAAAGCCCACTTTCCTCCCAACTTGGACTTCTCTTCCTCATCACACTCAGGTCTTTCTTGTAACAAACACAGCAAAGCATGGCTGTGGTCATGTGCCGCGCAACCCTCCTGGCATGGAGCCCCTCCCTGCAACAGCTTCTACAGGGCAAAGCCTCAGCCTGGCCCCCCCACACCTGGAGTTTCCTGTCCCACCCCCGCCACCTTTTTGCCACCCCAGACACTCCTCACATTTTGGCTGCTTTGCTGGAAATGCGCTCCTCCCAGTTTCCCTTGCCTGACATTCAGGACTCCACAGGCAGCTCCAGGCCTGTGACCTCCCCATCATGCGGCTTGGAGACCATCCACTTCTGTCCCAGCGGCTGACATAGGTCCTGTCACCCACTAAGAGTTCAAAAAACATCTGGGAGACCAAAGTCTGGAAGTCACTGGCCTGTGAGCAGCCAAGGCTTTCAAGTCAGAGAGAGGGAGGACAGTCGGAGGCTGACAAGTGCCCCCGACTCAAGGAATCAGAGGAGAGGAGGAGAGGCAAAAACTCAAACATGAGACCAGAGAGGAAGAAGAGATGACAACAGCAAGGCCCCGACAGGCCTGAAGCAGATGCGCCTCTGGGAGAAGAGTTAGCTCTGCCTGGCAGTGACTAGGAGCTGACAGGCCATAGGCTCCAGCCTAGCAGGGTGAGGGTGAGTGGGAAGATGTGAGAAAGGGGACCGTCGTGGAGGCCTGTGGTGCAAATTAGGACAGAACTCCTCTTTCAGCCAATCGTCTAATTTGGTCTGAATGGTCTGCTGGCAAGACTTCCTCCCTTTGAGAGAGTGGGACCGAAAGGGCCCCTCTCTTCACACAGGTTGCAGGCTCCAGCCCTGACCAAAGGTAGTAGGACCAGCAGCCCCAGAAGCCAGGGAGCCAAGCTGAGCCCCTGGCCTGGAGCAAACACAGACTGTTGGGCCTCCCTAAGAGGCATCACAGGCAAGACAACAGCCGCCATCCTGTTCAGTCTCAGACATGGCATCCAAGTATGTTTCATGGGACAGGAGTGCAAGGCATTCTCCTATCAGTAAGACCAGTCATGGGCAGGATTGTGGGGCCACACCCTATGAAAGGGGAGAGTACCCAACCAAGAAAGTCCTCAAAAGGGAACCCTCCAAGAGGGCAGAGGCTGCGTGAGCCAACAAAGTCTCTGTCGTAGAGAAATGGGGCCCCAGCCCCCACTTCCCAAGGAGCTGAGGGGGCAGTTTTCCAGATACAGACGAGAACTGAGGGGGTCAATGGGATCTGAGATAGTAGCGAGAGAAGTTTAGGGAGTGTTTTGTTTTTTGTTCTCGGAGGATAAAAAACAGAAATGCATGCAAGTCTCAGGAGCCAAGAGATAAACTGGTGGCTTGAAGCCCAGCTGGGCCCCCAGGGAACTTAAATTGCTCCCGACGGTGCTGCCACAGAATCCAGTTTTCTTCACCATAGGGGCTGGGGTCCCCGGACCTGGAGATCTGCACGTTGCCGACTGCCTGTGCTTCCCTCATGTGAGGAACACTGTGTCCGAAAGGTCGGCGATCTGGGCCGTGTGGAGGAACAAGGGAGGGAATGACAGGAGAGTCCGCCTTCCCAGCACCCAGGGGAGACGGGAGCCGGACAGTCTGCAAACGTGCAAAGTAAGGGCCTTACCTGGAAGACAGTGAGGATGGCAGCAGGGAAGGTGTCGAAGTTGGTTGTGGGAGTCTCATCCTGGAAGTTGAACCTGAGGAAAACAGGAAGGCTTGGGAAGCGGCAGCCCCTCAGCAGCGAGGCAGCGCCTGCAGGCTCCTGCATGGCCTCAACCTGTTCGCTTCAGGCTGCAGACGGCTGCACACCGGCCCCTCTGAGGACCTTCCTGGCAGGAAGGTGGGTGGAGGCAGCCTGGGCGGCGCTGTCTGCTCTGAGCTCTACCTCCCTGCAAGCCCCCAGCCTTGAGCTCTCCTGCCCAGGCCCACTTACTGTCCCCCAAACAGCTGCATCCCCAGCAGGGCGAAGACCACAATGAACAGGAAGAGCAAGAAGAGCAGGCTGATGATGGACTTCATGGAGTTCAGCAGGGACACCACCAGGTTCCGCAGGGAGCTCCAGTACCTGCAGGGCCAGGCAGGGGGTCTGAGCCAGCTCCAGACGCTGACTCCACACTCATGGCTCTCTGCAGCCACACTTAAGGCTCCCATGACTTTCTAAACCCTGAGGGCTGCACGCCTAGGTATGAAGTCAGAGCTTTTCTCTGGAGTTCCAGGCCCACTGCCCTGGACTTCTCTCCCTGAGGGCCCCATGGGACGGCAAAGAAAAACACACCCAGTGCAGGACTCACCTCATCCCCCCAAACTGCTCCCTGCCACTAGGTTCAGGAGGGATGAGGCCACCATCCAGGTGGCCAGGCCCAATCCCAAACTTCATCTTCAGTCCCTCCCTGCCCCTCACCCCTCAAACCCAGTCAGCTACCAAGTGTCTCAGACTAGTGCCATGTGAAGCAAGTCCCACAACTGCTGTCATCAGCCCACAGCGGGAGGAGGAGCTGCACCAGAACCTGGAGCAGATCTTCTGCAAGCGCTGTGGCTGGTGGCAGAGACCCTGGCTCCAGTGCCCCCTCACCAGGGACCAGGGACACGCGGTGTGGAGAGCTTGTAGGGCGGCACCACACAGACTCTCTGTGGTATCCCTCAACGCCCCCCATCCCAGAGGGCAGTGACCATGCCCTGCTCATGCACAGGTCCCCCTGGCACACAGGCGCCACAGAGGCTGCTGACGGCAACTGAGGGGCCGGTCCCTCACGTCCCTGTGCCTCTGCACATGCTGTCCCATCTCCCTGCAATGGAGGGACTGCAGGACAGACACTGGTCTCCTTCGGTGCTCACTCTACCCCTGGGCACCCCTGGGCTCCCAAACCGTGTCCTTCTCCCTGGCGCCCACATCAGAGACCCCGCTATCCTCCATAGATTCTCTTACAAAGTACCTGAGGGCTAATGGCAGATGGGGTGGAAGACTCTGGGAAAGGAATCGAGACTTCTCCTGGGACTAGCAGGGGTCTAGGCCAGCCTGCCTCAGGACAGGGGTCACCTACTTCCTGGGAGAAAATGGAGCCCAAGATGCCAGACCTGGAGGTGGGGTAAAGGCAGCCCTGTGGTCACTTCCTGGACCCACACACCAGCAGGTTCTGGGAAGGGAACAGAAGTCTGAGGACGCACAGCACAGAGCACCGGTGAGGATTCTGTCCCAGTGGGACTCAACTCTGCCCAAAACTCTTCTGCCTTTATAGCTTCATATCCTCCTATGGTCTTCGATTTGGATTTAAAGTGGATTTTGGAAAAGACCTGGGATTTCAGTTGCCCTGGGGAGGTCAGTGGGCTTCTGAGAGGTCGTCTTGGTCACTAGAGGTGTGACCTATGACCTGGCCCTGCATGGGCTCAGTGTCGGCAGTTCTGCTCCTTGGGCCCTACAGCTGCCAAGGACACACACCAAGGTCGATGCTGGCCCACGTGTGCGTCTGATAGGGTCCAGCTACTCAGGAGCCTCCGCGGTGCAGCCTTTGCTGCTGATGAGACTGCTGTGAGGAGGGTCTCTCTCTCTCTTCCCCACTACAACTCTGGCAGCAAGGGGAAGGGTTTTTGCCCTGGTCCTCCTCTCACTACCTGCATCTGTCACTTCTTGGGCTTCAGTCTCTTTGTAGGCAAACTGCAGCAACTCACTTCCAGAGACAAGTGGGACAAAACTGTAAACATGGTCTTGTCACTGCCATCGTCAGCAAGGTGCAGGGTGGAGAAAGCAGGCCTGGGCACAGGGGCCAGGCAGGCACCAGGCTGGCTCAGTAAGCAGCTCAGGGCCATAGCAGGGTGCACACAGGCTCTCAGGGGTGGAGCTGCAGGGAAGGTGGGCAGACTTGGGGACCAGACGGTGGAAAACCTTCCATCTGATAACTTCTGTCTTCCTCATTAACTACAAAGCAAAGTCACCTTTGAAGGCTGGGAAGATGGGGTGGTGGTTTCAAGAGAGGAGACGACGCGAATCGTGGGAAGCAAGTGAACAAGAAAGCTAAAGGGTGCCAGAGGCCAGTCGGGGATGGCCCTGAGGGCAGATGTGGCCCCACAAGGCTGTTTTGGAACCATCTTTTGTATTTAAACCAACTGTAAGCCACAGAGAGAGCTTCTGGGTGCTATGAACTCCTGGGGACAAGCACCCTGTGTGGCTGATCCCACGCCCTCTCCACCCTACACCTACCCTCGCCTGGGAGCGCAGGGGACATACTTCGTGACTTTGAAGATCCTCAGCAGGCGGAGGGCCCGCAGCACGCTGATCCCAAAGGAGCTTCCAGGCTTGATGGCCGCCCAGACCACTTCAAAGACGCTCCCCACAATGACCTGCAATGGGATGGCGTTAGCCTTGGGTGCACCGCATCTGCACCTGTGCATGCAGATGGATGTGTGCGCACCCTGACTGGCTGCACCTCTCCGTAAGGAACCATCCTGCTTCCTTGTCTGACAATCCAGCCAGATAGGGTAACTAACACAAGGCACACACCTCACACTGAGCTCTTGGAACCTTTGGGGAAGGCTGTAGAGTCCCACCAGTCCCGGTACCTGCCCTCCCTCCCACTCCCCACCCCCCATCCCCCACCCCAGACGCACCAGGAGGACACAGACATGGGCTAGGTTAGGCCTGCTGGCTTTCTGGCAGACCTTACAACCACCTGGTCTAATACCTCCTCTGTGCTTGACCACAGCCTGGTGACACTGCTGTCTTCTTCAACAACTCTGGAGCTGGGCAAACTTTCAGACAGCCCTGACTGTTAGACTGTTCTCTCACAGACTAGCAAAATCTGTCTCCCTGTAACTTCCCCTCCCTGATTCTGCCACTGCTCCAAGATACTCAGATTCATAAATTGTATCTTGAGTCTCTTCTTCTCCAAATGACCAGGAAACAGCACATGCCACCAAGAACAGATTATGGCAAGCCTGCCTGTTTGTTGCATGCACCGTCGACGTTGGTGAGCTGAAATTTGTGAGCAAAGTACACGTCCCTCCTTCCAGCCGTTCCTCAGATAGACCGTGAGGAGGGCCGTCCTGGTCAGGGCCTGCTGTGAGGGACTCAGAAAGGACAGACCAGGGGGGCTGGAACACAGGAGACCCTTTACCACCTTCCCTCTGGACAGGACAAGCAAGGGGCCCCAGACTGAATTCTTTCCCAGGCCACCATACCTCAAAGGGCACAATCTGGGCTCACAGAAAGCAGGAGTGCCCATGTCTTCTTCATGTGTGTAATTCTCATTTCCTCTAAGCCACACTTCTGCAACTGGGGTGGAGAATTCCAAAGCTGAGCCTCTCAAACTCAATTATATTGTATTTGGGACATATATTTTCCAAAGTTTCAGTCATTTCCACCCATTTCACATCAACTGCAAATCTGATGAGCTTAATGTCAATGTTCTCACGAAGTCACTGAGAGAACGATGAATATGCTAAGACAGAGCCCTGCGGTACATCTCTAGAGACCTCCCTACAGGCTGACACTAATCTGTAAACCAGCTGTCTGGGAATGGCTGCGCACCATTTATGGATCAACTCAAATGCACAGTCATCTGCTGCACCTTTCTCTACCTTGTCCACAGATCGCCATTCAGAGAATATCTAATGTTCTGTCAACAACCAGGTACACCAATATCCACAGCACCTGTGATAACCCTATCAATACAACAAATTGGGTGAGCTTGCCACCCGAATCTTGCCAAGAGTGCCATCTGTTCTTGGTGATCACACGTGGCCCTTGATCATCACTACCAACTTTTCTCTGCAACAGCAAATCATCCAGATGCTTGCCTAGGGTTGAAGATTGTAGTTTTCTAAATATACTTTCTTCTCATTGCCAGTCTTCCAGCATCTCTCCTGTTTTCCACTAATTCTTTAAATTTGTCTTCATTGGTTCATATAGTAGGCAGCCTCTAAGATGGCCTCAGTAATCCCCACCACCCAGTATTCACTCCCCTGTATAATGCTATCCCCTTGAGGATGGGTTGGACCTAGTGACTCACTCTTAGTAAACGGAATACAGCAAAAATGATGGGGTGTCACCTCTGAGATCTTGTGAACTCTTGACTCTCTTTCTCTGAACACCAGATATCATGTCATAAGGACACTCCGGCAGCTGGGAGAGGCCCATGTGACCAGGAACAGAGGCCTGCCAGCAGCCACACGAGTAAGCCCGGAAGCAGATTTTTTAGGTCCGTTGACAGCCATCATGGGCATGAGGCTGGAAGTGAATTCTCCAGCCCCAAATGAGCCTGGGAAAACTGCAGCCTCACTAGAGACCGCAAGCCAGGCGCACCCAGTTAAGCCACCCTGATTCCTGATTCACAGAAACAGTGAAATAATAAATACTTGTTTTCTTACGGCACTAAGCTTTTGGATAATTTGTTCCCCGGCAGGAAAAGTCAATACAGATTTTGGAATCAGAAGTAGGGTGACGCTGTGATAAAAACCTAAAATGTGGGAGTGGTTTTGGAACCAGAGGATGGACACTGAGCAGCATATTCATGAAGAGCTAAAGTGCACTTAACACATAATTCATAGAATTTTGGACATTATGCATGCTGCACACCAGGGTCTGCAGGAAAGCAAGGAGAGTTTCATAGGAAACTAGAGAAAGGAGTCCTGTTGTGTGCTGGCAGAAAGTTTAGCCACACTGTTGCATGCAGCTATGTAAAAAGTAGAAAACAGGCCAAGTGCACGGTGGCTCACGCCTGTAATCCCAACACTTTGGGAGGTTGAGGCAGGCAGATCACTTGAGGTCAGGAGTTCAAGACCAGCCTGACCAACATGGTGAAACCCCATCTCTGCCAAAAATACAAAAAATTAGCTGGGCGTGGTGGTGGGTGCCTGTAATCTCAGCTACTCAGGAGGCTGAGGCAGGAAAATCGCTTGAACCTGGGAGGCGGAGGTTGTAGTGAGCCAAGATCATGCCACTGCACTCCAACCTGGGCAAGAGTGAGACTCTGTCTCAAAAAAAAAAAGTAGAAAACATGCTTAATAAACCAGATCAACCTCAAGAGATCTCCGAGCCAAGTGCTGAAGGTGCCACCTCATGTCTTCTTGCTGCTTACAGTCAAATGTGAGAGGAGAGAGTTAAACCGAGGAAAGTGCATTAAATAAAAGGAAGCCAGGACTTGCTGGTTTTGAATATGCTCAGCCTCTCCAGATAGCAACATTAATAATGGCAAGGTCTCAACAAAGACATGGGAAAAAAAATGCTCAACACCACTAATTAGAGACATGCAAATCAAAACCACAGTGAGATACCATCACACCAGTCAGAATGGCTATCATTAAAAAGTCAAAAAATAACAGATGTTGGCGAGGCTACAGAGAAAAGGGAATGTTGGTGGGAATGTAAATTAGTCCAGTTACTGTGGAAAACAGTTTGCAGACTTCTCAAAGAACTAAAATAGATCTACCATTTGATCCAGCAATCCCACTACTGGTTATATACCCAAGGGACTATAACTCGTTCTACCAAAGAGACACATGCACTTGTTCACCACAGCACTATTCACAACAGCAGGGACACAAACCAACTTAGGTGCCAGTTAACAGTGGACTGGATAAAGAAAAGGTGGTACATATACACCAAGGAAGACTGCACAGCTATTAAAAAAAAAAAAAAAAAAAAAAAAAACACGTATTTTGCAGTAATATGGATGCGGCCAGAGGCCATTATCCTAAGTGAATTAATGCAGAAACAGAAAACCAAATACCACACGTTCTCACACGTGGGAGCTAAACAAGGGTAGACATGGACACAAAGTAGGGAACAATAGACACTGAGTACTAGAGGGAGGGGAAGGGGTTGACAAACTATCTTCCGGGTACTATGCTCACTACCTGAGTGATGGGATCGTGTGTATCCCAAACCTTAGCATCACACAACATACCCATGTAACAAACCTGCACATGTGCACCCTGAATCTAAATAAAACTTGAAATTTTAAAGAGAGAAAGGTGGCGTGGTCTAAAGATGAAGCCAAGGGCAAGACTGTGACTTTTATTTGAGATCCCAAAAGGATCAAAGGTAGCATCTCAGAGCACTACTCAGCCACATTTTCAGGCTCTTCAAAGAGATTGAAGGTGCCTCACACATTCGGTCAATGAAGCAGTAACTTCTCCAAGACACTGGAGGTGTTGACCCTTAGCATCTCAACAGGAACACAGACAGAAAAGGTCTAAGGCCTAACAGGTGTGGGTAGAGCTTTTTTCTAATAAAGTGAACCCCAAGGTTCACAACATATCCATAAAGTTCTTAAAGGACATATATGCAGAGACATCACCAACTTGAACTGAAAGAATCAAGACGGTACACAACGAAAACAGGTCTTTAAATTCCCAAAATTCTGCCAGTGGGAAGTAGGCTGAGAAAACCATTCAACTGAAAACCTGAACTACCTTTCATGGAAAAGCAAAGGGAGTGAGAGGGCAGAACCAAGAGCCCAGAGGGTTTCCTGGCTGTAATAACGAATCCCAGACTTTCCAGCATGTGCCCAGCTGGATTTCAGAATCCCTATGGACCAGTGGCTCAGCTTTCTGCTGTCCCCTTGCTGAGCAGCAATATCTACTGCAGTTACCCTGTGCCCATCCTACCACTGCACGCTGAATGTGGAGCGTAGATAACCCTCTAGTTCCACAGGTCAACAGAATAAGAGGCACCGTGGCCACTGCACTTAGGGAACTACACTCGAGGAGCCTCACCCACACCTGAACCTAACTGAGGATGAGATTCTGGACTTTGAGTTGATGCTGTAATGGATAAGATTTTGGGGAGTTGGCAGGGGTGAAGGTGTTTTACACTGGGAAGGATACGAGTCACTGAGAGCCAGAGGGCAGGCTGTGGCAAGCAGCCTCTTCAATGGCCCCCGTGGTCCTCACTGTCTGGTGTTCACATCCTCGCGTAATACCTGCCCCCATATATTCCTACCCCCAGCCCAGTCACTGGCCCAGTGACCCACTCCTAACTAAAAGACAACGGCAAAACTGACAGGATCTTTCTTTCAAGACAGGATTTCTATAGCTTCTGTCTTATGTGCTCTCAGTTCTCTCCCTCAGACCACAGCTGAGGACGTTCCAGCAGCCTATGGAGAGGCCACACGACCAGCAACCCAGCCTTCTAGCAACCAAATGCATGAGCTTGAAACCAAATTCTATAGTCCCAGTCAAGCTGTGGAATGACCGTATCTTTGGCCTTCAACTGGGCTGAATTCTCCTGAGGGACCCTGGGCCAGAGATACCCAGTTAAGCCACAGCTGAATTCCTAAGCCACAGAAATGTGAAACAGATGTTTGTACTTTAAAGCTGCTAAGTGTTAGAAGAATGTGTCAGCTTATGTGCAAATTATCTCCATGTCCTGAGATGCAGTCAGTTCAGATCAGAAGATTAGAAGACATGAAAAAGATCCCTGCATCTCTGACTTCTCTCCATCTCTTCAGCTCCCTCAGTCAACGCACTCAGGCTTTCCTTGTGACCAAGAAGTCAAAGGGTAAGAAGGGTTGTTGTCTTCCCACCATCTCTCGAAACCACAGGTTTCGATATAGGCGGCCACCGCCTTCCCTTCCTCAGAGATCAGAAACACAGCATGATGCAAAACCACTACCCCCGAGGCCAGAAAGCCAGGCTCACCCACTGACTCCTCTCAAACCAATGGGCAGCCTGGGGCCAGTCACACGATGTCTGCCGTTATCATCAATAAAATGAGAGTCCTTGTGAGGATTCAACAGAATCACAGACACAAATGTCTACCACCTGGAGAAGTATAGCGCTCGTGAGAGAAAAAGTCCAATTAAGCTGAATTTTCTAACTGAAGTTTTACTGCCACAGTCCAGGCCCCTCTCTGGCTCCTGTAAACACTGCAGAGCTCCAAACCCTTCCTTGGGGGACAGCACTCCTACTCCCCACTCCTTCCTGAGGAGGCAGTGCTCCCACCTGTCACTCCTTCATGGGAGGGGAAGTGCTCCCACCTCTCACTCCTTCCTGGGGGAGGGGGGGCACAATGCTCCCACCCTTCACTCCTTCCTGGTAGGGTAGTGCTCTCCGTCACTCCTTCATGAGAGGGGTAGTCCTCCCACCCTTCACTCCTTCCTAGGGAGGTAATGCTCCCTCCTGTTACTCCTTCCTGGGGGACTCTGCTCCCACCCTTCACTCCACCCTGAGGGGTGCAGTGCTCCCAGCCTTTACTCCTTCCTGGGGGGGGGCAGATCTCCCACTCTTCACTCCATCCTGGGGGGCAGTGCTCCCACTCATCACTCCTTGTCACTCCCGCTTGTCACTCCCGCTTGTCACTCCTTACTGGAGGGTTTGAAGCGCTCTGGTACAAAGCCTTGGAGGGAGTACTTACTCCTACTCCTCCCTCCTCCCTCAGGGGGCGGCGTCGCCACCCATCATTCCCAGCCTCCAGCAGGAAGGCTCAGAACTCAGCCTCTGGGCAGGTGCCAACAGTGCCACATCCCTAGGCTCGGGGTTCAGGTCCCAGGAAGTGTCCTGTGCTCCCTGCCGGGTTCCAGTGAGGAGCATCTCGGACTGCCCTGCCCTGCCCTCTGTGCTCGAGTGTCATGGTAAGCAGTGAAACACGCTGCCTCCAAGGCTTCCCTCACCTACTGAAGTTGGTAAAGAGACCCAGGCCAAGACCACCACCTCCCCCAGCCCCGCAAAGAGGGCAGGACCATCACGGCCTATCAGGCCCCAACCCCCAGAAGTGCTGGTGGATGTACCCAAGCCTGCCCAGGGCCAGAGCCCCCCTGAGCTCCATTGGGGAGAGACTGAGCCCTCCACAGGTTCGTGAGATCCCAGGCATGGAGGCAGCTGCAGAGCCTTCAGATGACTGTGAAAGTCTACGGACAGGATCAGAAGAGGGAGGAGTGGCCTCCCGCCGACAGAGAGCGGCTGAGGCTGACACTCCTGTCAGGCCTGGCCACAACAGGCCTCCTCTGCCAGCCCCTGCTCCTGACTGTCTCCAGGTAGCCTTTCTGACCCATGGAGGGTCACAGACCCCAGCCCACACTGAGCATGGCCGGTGGGAAGGAGCCATGTGTGCACACGCAGGAAAGGACACAAGTTGGGCCCCTGTGGGCCCCCGATGAAGTCTCTCACTCACCCCAAAGTCAAAGCAGTTGAAGGAGGACCGGAAGTAGCTTCTGGGCCCCAGGCCATACATCTTCAGGGACATCTCTGTGAGGAAGAGACCCAGGAAAACAAACTCTGCAAAATCTAGGAGAAGCCGGAGAAGAGGGGGATTAGCTCGAGGCCTCCTCCCACTCCGGCTCCAGCCCAGACTGGAGGACACCAGACCTCTGGGCCTTCCCAGGGCTGAGCCTTCCAGGCCTGGCCTACAGTCCCATGCTCTGAAGTCTCAGCCCAGGAAAGGAACGATGGATTGAGAGGGACACGGAGAGGTACCTGTTCCAGTCTGAAAGGTGATGAGTGCCTAGTGCCTCTGAGACCCAGAGAAGGACGGGCTCAGCAGGAGGCAAGCTCCCAAGATCAGCCCAGGTGTGACTTCTGGAGTCATGGGGGTGCCCCCTCCTCACCAGAGGAGGGCCTGGGGCTATGAGGCAAAGGGCCCCATTTCCCCCCGGGAGAGGCCCAGCTACAGCTTCCAGTTGTTGGTCCTTCCGCCTCTGGCCTCACCCCAATCTCTGACCGAAGGTGGGGTCCCTCAACCTCCTTGTCAGAATCTCCCATCTTTCCACTGGGACTTCCCAGAGGAAAGGCGCCTCTCCCCAGGATGGCCACGGCACTGTGGCTGACTTGTATTGTGTTCACATTTGCTGCCCTGAAGGCAGACCTCCTCCACCACTGCACTCCTATCCAGCACGAGGCTGCCAAGAGGCACTGTCCCCTTGCACTCTCACCGAGTCACAGAGGTTCCCGCGGGCACAACAGCAGTGGAGCGGGGCTGTCCTGGGCCCAGGAGTCCTGCTGACCCTTCCAGGCCTCAGGACTGAGAGAGGCCATACCTGGGCTAGAGGGCTGTGCTGGGATTTCAAGGTACACAGACCCTGCTCACCCAGCCCAAGCAGAAGGAGGGAAGCAGCACAAAAGAACGCCGTGACTCCAGAGGCCACAGGCAGCAGGAGGCCCAGCCAGGCCCAGCCACCGGCTGAGCCAGGAGTCCTAGGTGTCAGGGTAAGGCCACTGTCTCTGACTCTCCTCCCAAAGGGCAGGGATTGGCTCTTAAACTTCTCATGGTGCTGGTCAGGCCAAAGGCACCATGGCTCTGCTAGGGCAGCAGGGGCTAAGGAAGCAACAGAGCCCAGGGCAGAGCCCACATGGAGAACAAGACCCTGGGAGGGCATGAAGGGCAGGCCTCTGAGAGTCCACACCTGAACAGAGTCCAGCTCAGCCTTCCCAGGGCTTCTGAATTCCCCCCACAGTCTCTGTTGGGACACGGGACCTTCAGCTGACACAACTTCTGATAAAGCAGACGCTGGAAGAGGGGGCCACACTCTTCCCATCCCTATGTTCTTAAAATCTCCACCAAGGGCTGTGCTGCACAGGTCCAGATGGCCTCCGTTGGGGATAAGTCTGCAGCAGCCCAGACCTGGGACAAGCAGAGATGACAACTTCACAGCCCACTCAGGCACCATACAAACAGGAGTCTCAGGGAGGGGACACCCTGCTTTCTATGGCCTGAGGACATGGACAACCAGTTCCTTAGAGCAAGTCACCCACAGCAAGCCTGGCCTCTGACACCAGCCAGAAAATCAGCAGGCACTCAAGCTAAGCATGGGATGAGAACAAGGTCAAGCAGCGTCCCTGGAGAAGCCGAGAGGCCCCTGTGAGAGGCACGGATGCCCAGCAACCCTCAGGCAGGGCTGCTCGGGACGGAAGGATCCACCCTCCACTGACACCACTGGACCCTACAGCTCTGACCTGGGCCTGGCTGTGCAGACCACCAGGTGTAACATGTGGCAGAAAAGCTGTGACCCCCTGCAGTCCAGCCCAGAGCACCCCAGCAAGCCCAGGGGAATACACAAGCAGCTTGGAAAGGCCCAACACTCCTGGCCACAAAGTCCCAGAGCCCCTCTGCATGGGTCACAAATCCCTTGGGCTCCCCACACGAGGGGCTCGGGCCCAGGGAGGAGAGGCCCCAGAGATAGGACTACAGGCACCCACGCCCTAGATCCGGGAGGGGAGGCTACCCAGGCACACACCTTGCTCCCCAGGAGACCAAAGTGAGAGCACTTTGCAAGGAACAAGTACAAGAAATGCAAATGGCAAAACTTTTGGAGAAAGAGATCTGAAATCCGCCAACATCCTGTCTGCCCTCTCACTCTCCCTAGGAACGGATGCCCTCAGCCTCACATACTCAGCCTCACGTACTCAGCCTCACGTACTCAGCCTCACGTACTCAGCCTCACATACTCAGCCTCCTCTCTGAGGCCAAGAAAGGGCATTCGTTCGTACACGTCTGTATCATGCATCCAACCAGCAGGCACTGGTGCTGTTTTGAGCCAGCAGGGGACAGGCTGAGCTGGACTCTGCCCAGGTGTGGACTCTCGGGGGCCTGCCCTTCATGCCCTCCCATGAACTCCCTTCTCCCCAGGAGTTCACAAGCTGAGGGGGAAACAGAGACAGATCATTAAAACCGGGTTTTGTCTTCTAAGAGGATGGTGTGCTACGGGAGCAGAGGGAGGGTGAGCAAGTTTGGTGAGCTACATAAGGCCCCCCCAGGGGCTCACAGGATGGCAAGGCCTCTTAACTCAAGCCTCTCTTAAGCCTCAGTTTTGAAGGTTCTGGCAATGCATTGAGGGCAGGTCCTTCGAGAATGGACAGCCGAGGTGCACAAAACCCACGATGAACCCCTGCAAAGCTGCTCTAGACTGGGCGGCCACACCCCCTCGCCTCTGGCAAGCCTGCCCCACCTACTGAGCCAGCCTCCCTCCCGCCCAGCCCAGCTGTCAGGGACACTGCCCACATTTCCGTCCAGCTGTTTTTCCCTCAGTGACACCAATCAAGCCAGGAACTCCAGGAAACCACAGACAAGACACAGCAGCGGTCTATGGTCAGGGATGCCTGTGGCCTCACCAACGCCTGGACACTCCGAGCCCTGCGCTCCCATACAGTAGACACGCGACTGGGCTGTGCAGCCCTACCCCGACCCACTGCCTGCCGACTCACTGCGCACCAACAGCCTCTCACAGGGAACAACAGGCCGAGCCGCTGGGTCAGGAGGAAGTCCTTGGTCCCCACCTGACCCCCAAGGGTGGGAAAATGTTAGCCAGAGGACTCAAGAGAGACACTGAACTCAGGCCCAAGCAAAGTCCCGAGGTGCCACCCTGTGGGCCCCAGGACATGTGAATCAGGGGCTGGGACAGGCAGTTCCATGTACGCAAGCTGCTCCTCGGCCTGTAGCCGCCCAGGAGCCTGAGCGGGAGCTCCCTTGGCTCCTTTTACTTCTGCCCCCGACAACCATCTCCCTGTCTGCATGTCGTAGATTTCAGTGTCAAGTCTGGGAAACTGCAGTCCAGAGTTCCACTCCAACACAGCCACTCTCCCACCCATGCTTCCAGGTGACCTGCAGCCCCATCTCTCCCACTGTGGAGCGTCAAATCCTGCAGCTCAGGGAACCCTCACACTCCTGGGCAGAGCAGGCAAGGCCCCCTGGTCCACAGAGCGGGGCTCAGCCGGCCAGCTAGGGCCCTGGTGAGGCCACCGTCACAGCAGCACACAGTGACAGCCAGGCTGAACTCGGAGCTGGGACGAACGGAGTCGGAAAAGGCTTTCCTAGGTGCCTCCATAGCTTCAGGCACACAGGGCCCTCAAGGAGAGACTGAGGCCCTCCAGGGAACCCCAAACAGGCCCTGTCTCCAGACCAGCCGTAGACACCCAGCAGGGTGAGTGCAGCTGAACCCTGAGGTCAGGAGGACTGAAACACTACCTGACAGGACATAAAACATGGGTGGACTCTTTGGTTTTGATCGTCTTTGTGAAGTAAGACCACAGAGCAACACTGTTTTCCACATGGGCCAGGGAGTCCGAGGCTGTGACAGACCAGGCCTGGAGGGGCCCATCCTGGCTCCTGTGCTGAGGCTTGTGGAACAGAACTGCAGTCAGCTCACTCCACGGAAGGGCATGAATGCATCCGGATTCAGCCAAATGTAAAGAAAAATGAAGGTAATCAGGGGAACCCAAGGAGGGTACGAAGCCAGGACTCCCCCCTCAGGAAGCTGGGGCAGAATCAGCAGCCACGTGGTGGAAAGGAGCGCGGGGCTAAGTCCCAACTGTGGGTCTGAAGCCCTCTAGGGGGAGGACACCCATCTGCCTGGCCTGGCTTGCCCCTGGTCGTCCCACATATATCCTGCCCTGGGTGCCCAGGACCCCTCAACCAGTCTCACACTACGCTGAGGGACAGGGGTCTAGCAGACGCAGCTGTGCTTTCTGGAACCCAGGGGCTGGAGAGGCCGCCCTCCAGCTCTGGACACACCCCAGGCCCCCACAGAGGCCCCTGGGGACTGACTAGGGCTGTGGGATACTTTGGGCAACATGGGGGTGGGTCCCGTCCCACCCAGGGTGGTCGCAGGGCATGGACCAGGGTTTCCAGGCTGAGAGCAGAGATGCTCAGGAAGTACCTGAGGGAGGGACGGGGATACGTACACAGCGCCGTGGTGAGCCGCCGCGGCTGGTTGTAATGCACCATGGCCACACACAGTGTGTTCAGGGCCACCACACACAGCACCACCCAGTAGAAGCTCTGAGCCTTCACCATGCGCCGGATGAAAAACCGGAACATCTTCTCCTTCCTCCGGAAGTATGACGAGCTCTCTGTCTTCCCGCTCTTGAGGCTGGCGCGGGCGAAGGGGGATCCTGAGGGGATGGGGGTTACTGAGGATGTGGGGACCACTGGGCACCCGCCTACCCCACCTGTGGAGCCCCACAGACGCACCCTGGAGGACACCAGCCTCCAACCCCAGCCGGTCACAGACAATTGTGCCAGTGACCCCTGTGACCTCCACTTCACAGCTGAGGGAACCAAGGCCTTGATGATCTCCATGGTTACTGGGTGCCAGATGAGACAGCGGGGTTGAACTGGATGATACGCACTCACTGTCTCTGGTCCCCAGCATCCCCAGCCACCTTCTAGGAGCACAGTCTTGATGCCCCCAGGTCACTCTCCATGAGCACCCCAAGCTTTTTCCCCTGAAGACATAAATCTGAGTTAGTCCCTCCCCAGATCCCATCTCTTCAGCATAGCCCACGGAGCTCTGCAGCATCTGTCCCTCCCTCTTTCTCCCTCATGGACTCAGGGGTCAGTACCCATGGGCTGTCTGTTTTCTAAGTAGTTTTCCTGGAACACAGCCAAGTTCATCGGTGTATGCATGGTCCATGGTTGTTCAATGTCCACAATACTCACTGTTGGAAACTTTGTCCACCTGCTCCAGCCTGACTGCTTCTCTGCCCTGCTCACCACTCAACCCAGCAGCCTTTTCCCGTATCCACACGCACACCACTCCTGCTGTGTCCTGGCCCTTCACACAGTAGCCCAAGTGTGAAATGCGTCCCTCACTGGACTCCTTCCCACACACCTTCGGGTCTCAGCATTAACATCACCTGCACAGAGCACCTGCTCTGGGCACACTGTTTAGAACAGGGCCCTTGGCTCACCTCCGACAGTGGCCCTGACCACATCACCACTTGTCACTGTGTTTTATTGTTGACCTGTTCCACGCCCAACTCCCAGACAAGACTGTAGGCTCCATGAGGACAGGGCCACGTTGTCTTTTTTACCACTGAGCCCCTCACACTGAGAGGGGCTTAATCAATGCTTAACAACTGAGGGAAGGGTCTCTGTGAGGATTCAGGTGTGTGTCTGTACAGGAGCAGGCTGTGTGTCTCTGCAG